CAAAGGTGTAGGAGGGACAGAGGACAAAGGTGTAGGAGGGACAGAGGTGTAGGAGGGACAGAGGACAGATGTCCCCACCTCTCTCTGGGCCTTCTTGGCCTGTTTCTCCTCCAGCTTCTTCTGCTTCTTGGCTCCAACTCTGGCAGCAGGTTGGAGGTTCTGCTCCTCCTCTTCGTCCTCCACAGGCTCCTCCTCATCTGTAAGACACAGTTTTACTGCAGAGGACTCCAGAGGACGCCCTGAAGACTGAGAACCTGTCCTGCTCCTCCCCCAGTCCAGGTCTGGTCCACACTTCATCAGTGGTGGACCTCAGTTATCAAAGCAGCCAACACAAAGAGCTGGCTCTGTTAGTAAAATATCTCCTGGACCACGGAGGAGTCCTTCACACTCCATGGATATCATCATCATCATCATCAACGAGCACGGTGTTCTGGAAAGTCAGAGTCCACATCAGTTAGTCCAGATCCAGAGGAGTTCACAAGTTTACAAAATAAAAGCCTAAAGAGTTTATAAAAGCAAACTTTTATTCTGACACATATTTAACGCTGCTTTGAATCTTTTGGTGTTTTATTTTGGTAAATGTAGAAACACTCTGCTGGTTATGTGGATTCAAATCAGACTTATTTTTAGAAAACACAGACACGGGCGCCATCTGGACTGTGTCCCTTTTCCACTGTCACGGTGCGGATCAGGTCAGGTCAGGTCAGATCAGGTCAGATCAGATCAGATCAGGTCAGGTCAGATCAGATCAAATGCAACTGGAAATTCTTCTCAACTTCCAGTATGAATTTAAACAAACACTATATGAACTTAACATTGTAAAATTTGTTTAGGAAATTTAATGTTCAAGGACACCACTTAAGAAAAAAATTGTTTAATATGAAAAGTAAGAAGTGAAAAATGTAGAAAAATAAAAACTACTGCGTCCAACTAATGACTGTGTATCTGTGTGTCCCTTGTCTCACGGGCTTCATCCAGAAGAAGACACAAGTGTTGTTCCTGCTGTGTCCGCTTCAGTTCTTCATGTTCATTCAGTGATGAAATAAGACTTTTCTTTACTGGACTCTTTTCTCTTTCTCTTCACTAGAAAGAAGAAACAGGTGGTTAATTCAAGCTACATACTGTTTTTGAATGAATGCATGAAACAAAGAAAGGTGCTGCTAACAGCTATAATAGATATATTAACAATAAGAAACTGATCAAATAAGAAAATGAAAAATAAATTGATTTAAAAATAATGAAAATGATAATAATGGATATATGAATCAGAAAGTATTATACAGATGCAGATATTCTTTGTCATTCGCACCACATGTGGTACATGTGGTGGATGATCAAAATTATGTTCACAGGGTCCCAGTTACATCCAACAATAAAATGTAAAAGAAAAACAGTAATAAGATCTAAGATATGAACTAAGAAAAACATAAACTAAAAATATGATAAGCAGTAATAGCATAAAAACATTAAACACAATACGCAGAACAGCAGCACGGACATGAGTCTGTGTGAACAGATGAGCACGAATGAACACAGCAACATGACACAGATCAGCAGCAACATGAAACAGATCAGCAGCAACATGAAACAGATCAGCAGCAACATGAAACTGATCAGCAGCAACATGAAACTGATCAGCAGCAACAT